GCCAGATAAATGTCTAAAATATAAACAAATGTGTGATATAAATATATCATCTTTTGATATTTCTAAAAAAAAAAATGACCTTAAGTCAAATAAAAAGAACTGTATAAATAATAACTATTGCAAATGTGAATTATTCACTTACTTCATAAATCCTGAAGTTACACAGTCTGTTTCTGTAATACTAGAATGACATGTATTACATTTAGCTGACCATTTATCTCCAATTATAAGAAAATTTTTGAATCCAAAATTGATGACTGTGCAAAAACGCATTGTAAACATAGTTGGACCTACTCTTGCAGCCAACCTTCAACCTCTGTCACATCGTCGTAATGTTGCTTCTCTTTCTCTTTTCTACAAATACTATAATGGGCACTGCTCTAAAGAGTTAGCGTCTCTTGTGCCATCTACAAAAATTCATTCTCGTGTTACTCGTCCTTCAACTAAGTCTCATCCTTTTTCTGTTACTGTTCCTAAGTGCTCCTAAAACTCTTATTCCTCTAGTTTTTTTCCTCAAACATCAGTTCTTTGGAATTTGCTTCCTTCATCTTGCTTTCCTGATTCATATAATTTGCAATCTTTTAAGTCGTCTGTCAATCATTATTTTGCTCTTCAATCTTCATCTTTTCTCTTCCAGTAACTTCCAACATAATTAGTGGTTGCTTGCAGCCTTGTTGGAAGCGAAGATGTTAAAAAAAAAAAAAAAAAAACCTTTTTCGATTATTATATCTTTATAATAGAACTATTATATCTTTATTATAGAAGCATAATTAAGCTATTGCTTATTGGTTCAAAGTTGCATTTTATAAATAGAATTGTTTTAAAAAACTCTATTAAAAATACATTACTAACAACTTATATAAATAGATTTAGATAAATTGAATAAAAAAAGTATAATTAAATACATATAAAAACTATAATAAATTATAGTTTAATATTGAAATGTTCTAACTAATTACAGAAGTTAAAATAATTCATGTGATTAATTATATAGATATAAACTTCTGTTTAACCAATCATGTCATTGATGATTTTTTTAAAATGGGTAATCAAAACAACAATTTAAACCATTAAATAAAAACCACAAAAATAATTTGAAAAGCTTTCAAATAAAAAAAAAATAATTCTTGTAAACAAAATCAATTGTAGTAAAATTATTTAAAAACTTTGGCATATAAAATTCGCCGAATGGTCACACACAAGCAGTGAACGTCTTGCAGGGAAGAAATGAAGTACATTAGAATAAAGGAGAATTATTTATTAGACAAAGCATATTTTTACAGTTGTCAAGACAAAAATAAAGATTAATAGAGGAATATTTAAAAATAAATAAGACAGGCTATACACCCACAACAATAATAACAACAATAACAACAACAACAACAACAACAAAAAATTGTTTTATAAACACCAATATGAACGAAGATATACATCACCAGACAAAAACTTATAAAACAAAAAACCGATCACAAAATAAAAAATATACTAACAACGATGAAAGGCTTTTAATAATTGAAAAAAAAACATTAATGCTAATGTGTAAACATAATTTGTGTAATAACATATTACTTAAGTAAATGGTTTACTAGTAAAATATTGGTGCTTTACAAATTTAGGGTTGGTTGGGTTTTGGCTATGTGTGGTGAGTCCTTTTTTATTGCAGTATGGAATAGGCGTAAGTCGTGGGGTAAAGCATAAGTGGCGATGACGTTTGTCTGATGGGATAAACTAGTTATAAATGCTGATCCTCATCGAAACGCCAGTAATAATAGACGGGACTCTGAGGAGATGTTTATTACTTAATCACTACACAAATTATGTTTACACATTAGCAAGGCCCAGACCAAGACCAAGGCCTTAATTTTTGGCCTAAAGGCAAAGTCAAGGCCAAGGACTAACTACTCTGGCCACTAGTACTCACAATTGAAAAAACTGAAGAAATTTTAAAAAATAAGAACTCTTTTTAAATTGTTATAATAGCTTTTTGTATTTTACCCCCCTTCCCCTTGCCTCAAGTTACCCCTACTACATATATTCATACACTTGTCTTCACCCTAATAAGTAAAACTATTGCATGGAGCACTGGCAATAGTTTATTCTAATGCATTTCAGAAAATTATTTTTTTCAACAAAAATGGGCCTTAAAAGGGCTTAAAAAACATGTCCGGGTCCTAGTACCCTGAGAGTGGGGTCTAGGAATAGGTCACTGCTAGATACATTCTTTTTATTTTTATCACCCCAATAAGTAAAACTGATGCATGTAACACTAATTCAAGCTGATTTTAATAGATTTCAGAAATATATTATTTTAGACAAAAATGGATCTCAAAAGAGCTTAAAAACAGATCCGGTACCTTGCGTTCCTAGGACAGGCTTGGTCGAGAAGCGGGTGCGATCACACTCGATAACTGACCATGGAAATAATATTTAGTTGCGAAAAACCGGACAGATTTTTTTGTCATAGATTTGGCGGGTTTTTTGTGTTTGCGAATATTTTTTTTTTATTTTTCCACACTTAGATGTTTGAGAACATTTAAGTTTATGTATGTTTCCTTGTTTTTCCGCAAAATAATAAGTTTATTTTGTCGTAAATTTTAAAATATTTTGTTTTACGGACTTACATGGAAACATACATAAACTTGGATGTTCTCAAACATCTAAGTGTGGAAAAATAAAAAAAGAATATTTGCAAACACAAAAAACCCGCCAAATCTACGAACAACTAATTCTATTGGTTCAAAAAATACTAACCAAAATTTCTAGAGTATTCAAAAAAAACTAACCGAATGTCCTGAGTATTCTGTTGAAATATTTAAAAAACAGTATTATTTGAATTTTGTTACATTTTTGTTGAGATTTCTAGCATAAATTATTTTAAGAGTATACTATCAAACAAACTATTATTTTAATTCTTGGAGCCACATCTGCAAAGCTATAAATGTTTTAAACTAACATTATTTGTTTGCAATAATAAATATTTTAAATTTATATTTTTTAACTTGTCAACGTTTTGTAAATATATTTTAGATTTTATTAGTAGATTCTTATTTTTTATATATAAGGGATGTATTTTTTATGTATGTAATGTATTTTTATGTATGTAATGTATTTTTATCTATGTAATTTTATCTATGTGTATTTTATTCAAATGTAATCTTTTAAAGCAATTTGTGCTATTGATTTTGTAAACAAAAATACTTTCAATAATAACTGCGTTTTCAATGAAATTATTAATAATCGTCAAAGTTAATACAAATAATTTTAACCACTAATCCATTTTCCTCAGTGTATCCGATAACTGATTCTTTCTCCCAAAAAAGAAAAGATTTTAAGTTTATAGAAATTGGTTTACTAACTTCAATTATTTTTGCTTTAGCCATTCTTACAAACTCGTTATACTTAAAGTTACTTTTTTCTGTTTTAAATACTAATTAAAATTATGAAGCCCACTCACTAAACATCATCAACGGTATTGTGAAGCAGTTCCACTTCCTTCTCACAAAGTAATTTAAGGTTTTTTGTTAATTTCTATCAAGCTAATTGAATTTCTACAGTAACTCAATGATTTAATTTCATTTGTTCATCTTATTAAGAAGAATTGTTTTAAATGTGTTAAATTTTTTAAACTACGCAAAGCATAAAACAGTTATTGAAAAAACTTTTTTATTTATAAATAAATCATCTGGTTGAATCTTGTTGGTCTTTTCAAGGCCAGGGGCTGCATTATTTTGGCGGCCTTTTTTATGTGCCACAGCATAAAAATGACTTTAAAAAATACAGAATGGTCCTTTTGACTATTTCCCCTAACATTGTGAGTCCCGGGGCTATAGCCCTACTACCCCCACCCCACCTCCTCAATCCAGCACTGGAAATAAGACATAAGTATATAAATAAAAATTATATATACTCTTTGATAAATCGAAGAACATTTGTTTTTTTATAGTCGTTACTTTATATAAAAAATGTCGCTTTATTTTATAAAAAAAGTTATAAAAGAGCGACGTTTCAAAGATAATTGCTCTTCACGTTTTTTCGCGTTAAAAGCTATTTTTATATTTTTACGCTATTTTTCTTTTTTCAACTGTCTCTCATTGGTCCAGTTAATCTTATTACGCTTTTTTGTTTGTTTTTGAAATGTTCTCAAAATGACCAAATAATCTGGCCGGTTCTTCGCAACTAAATAATACTTCTGTGGTCAATTATCGAGTGCAATTGCACCTGTTTCCCGACCAAGCCTGCTAGGATGGAGTCTGGAAATAGGTCATTGCTATATAATTTTTTTAAACCCAAATAAGTGAGACTGATGAATGTAATACTGATACTAATTGATTTTAATACATTTTAGACAGGGTTCTAAAGGGCTTACAAAACAGGTGTGGGGGACCACTTCCCATCATCAGTTTGGAAAAAAAATTTATTTGTGAACTTCTTTTATTGAACCTCACCAAATAAAAGGATGTGCAATATAAAATTCAAAAAAAAAAAAACCCACAAAAATATACATATATATATATATATATATATATATATATATATATATATATATAATATATATATATATATATATATATATATATATATATATATATATATATATATATATATATATATATATATAAATATACATATATATTATATATATATATATATATATATATATATAAATATATATATATATAAAATATACATATATATATATATATATATATATATATATATATATATATATATATATATATATATATATATATATATATATATATATATATATATATGTATATATATATATATATATATATATATATATATATATATATATATATATATATATATATATATATATATATATATATATATATATATGTATATATATATATGTATATATATATATATATATAAATATGTATATATATATATATATATATATATATATATATATATATATATATATATATATATATGTATATATATATACTAATAACTGAAAACTTATTACAAACCTGAAATACTGCAAGAATAGAGTTAGCGAGACCATTAAAATTTGGTTTTTGTAAACTCTCAAATCTAAAACAAGATTTTAATATATGCAAAAGTAATGTAAAAAGTAAACACAATGAAAATTTTATTAGAAGAAACTAACAAAGTTTAAAGCAAAAAAAAAAGGTTCCAAAGAGATGCAAGGAAACACGGTAAAGAAATGCAGAAGTGAATAAAATTAAAATATATTTATAAAATTTAAAAAAATTCTAAGAACCAAGATAACAGAATCTTGTATTGCTTGACAAAACAGTAGTGAAAGCAAGCTGTTTACAAAAAAACAAAAAAAAAGACCAACAAAAAAAACATTGTTTAGAGCTGTATAGCAAATGGTAAGAAAAAAGAGAAATTTTTTCAGAGAAAACAGTATTAAGGGCTAGATGAAACAAAACTTAAACAAAAACAAGATGCAAAAACAAGATAAAAAAGAAATTTTGAAAAAATACTTTGCTAAATGATAAGATCAATTGAAATAAATAAAACTTTTTTTAAGATTAGTGTTAGGTTAGTGTAGGTTACTATTATTTCCAGCAAAACTGATGACAAAAATGAACTAAGTAAAATTAGCTACTAATATGGTTCAGGCCACGGCTATCTAAAACACAGGCCTATTAATCATGCAAACCGTAAAAATAATTTAAGGCTGATTAACTCAAAAAAAATTAAAGAAAAAATATTTCTTGAGGCTTATTATGCCTTTAAAGTGAAAAGTGTTGCAAATTGCTCTACTAATTATATAACAGATTAAAAAAAGTATGCTGTTTAAAAATTACCAAAAGATCCAGAAGAATATAGAAAGTAGCTATCAGCTATTCCAAGAAGCAACATTCCTCAAAGCAAATACACTGTTGCATGTTCTGAACATTGGCCTATAAATTTAAAAAAAGTTAATGTTTATGGTCAGAAAAGACTCTCATCTCGACCTTTTATTTTTCATTGTGTTAAGTCCAGCCTTGTACCAACTGCACCTACTAAATCAAGAGTTACAATTTCATCAACTGGTACAAGAAATGTACAACCTGATTAACTTGAGACATTCAAAGCCATGGACTTTTTGAATTTTAATGATTTGATTATTCAATAACAGTTTTTAGACAAGTGGTTGCATTTAGCTAAAGCTGTAAGATAATTAACTAATATTGAGTTATTGATAAAAAAAAAAGTTATTATAGAAAGTTTATCTTCTATGAAAATTTTAAGTATTGGTGATACATTATATTCTTCAAACACTATTGTTGTTAATACTATTGTTCAAGCTTTTGAATATTTTTCTGTTTCAAGAGTACTTTATAAGCAAGTTAAAATGATTATCAGCTTCTCAGTGTGTACTACTCTACAAAAATTGACATCAAAAGCTTCAAAATTAAACAATGATGAATTTATTTTGCATGTTTTTTGCTAACTTACTAACCAACAACGACAGTGCATTTTAATATTTGATGAAGTATATGTTAAAGCTTCCTTAACTTATAAGTTAAGAGGTTCTCCACTGTGATAAATCACAGTGGAGAACTTTTTGGGAAATTTGTTAATCAATCAAAAAAATTAGCAAAAACAATATTAGCTGTTATGTCTTTTTAGTTGTGTCTTTTTAGTTGACTTACTTTTATAGTATGCATGACTCCAATTTGTTGTCTTTATTCAGATTTTCAGTTTGAAGTAGTAGATTCTATACTTGGATCAATTTCAAATGCAAATAAAAGGCGTGTTGCAATTATAAATGACAATAATAAAGTTAATGTAAGTTTTTTCTCTCTCTTTGAAACTTTTGAAGAAAAACTATGGTTGACTAAAATAACACTTTTTTACTTTACGATTATGCTCATATATGGAAAAACATAAGAAATAATTGGGTTTCTGAAAAAACTCAAGAAATTCAGTTTAAAGACATAAATTGCAGGGTGGGATGATCTTAAGAACTATTTACAACAAAAAAGTAAGACACTTGTGACTCTTTCACATTTAAATACAGCTTCAATCTTTCCAAAACTTGTTGAGAGACAAAATGTTTCTTTGTGTTTGAGAGTTTTTTGTGATGAAACATTTCTGCTTTATCAACACATCCTAAAATAGACCAAACCAATATTAAAGAAACTGTTGTATTTTTAAAAAATTTTATAGATGCATGGAAAGTTATTAATCTTCTTAAACTGGGTGATGATAAAAGTTCAAGAGACCCATTGCGCTTTGTCATCGGATCACCAGATGATCTTCGTCTGCAACAGCAACTTTCATTATCACAAGTCTGTGAAGATATGGTTTGCCATAATGAAAAAGAGAAGAATTAAAACACTGACTGTTGAAACATCTAAAGCAATAGTCCATACCATAAAAGGAATAGTTGAGTTAACATAATATTTGTTATGTACATCTCACGAATTTGTAAAACTTTGTGACTTAACATCTGACCCTATTGAAAAAGCATTTAATAAGTTGCATCAAGGTGCTGGTGGTGTTTATTTTATTTTGATTTAACAAGTTTTAGAAAAAACTAAAATTGAGCACTCAAAACTACTTTTACAATATGATTCAGACTTTCATGAGCTTCATGTTGGTCATACTTGCATAAACTGTCTGAGGCAACTAACATAAAAAGAAACTGAAATATTTAATTCTTTGAAAATATTAGAGTCTACTTTAACTGATGCTGTTAAAATGGCTTTAGTATATGTTATTTTTAGTCAGCCATAGTTTCTCTTCAAAAGTTTCAAGAGAGAAACAATTTAAATTGACTTTATTATTGTCATATATAATTGCAACACACCTTCCATTTACATTGCTAGTTACCTTCAAATTAAGATTGTTTATGAAGATTTTGAAACTGATAAATGTTCATATTGTAACAAGTATGGTGCTTATCTCAAAGACTTAGAGGTGGTTTGACAAAGCCAACTGACATTCTATGTCAATTTACTTTTGCTTTTGTTATGTACTCTTTATTGCACTGGATCTAACTTTGCCAGTTTGTTTGTATTTCTTATCCTACTACTTTGAATCAATCGACAATTTATATTTTTTTGGTTATTTTAAGAATAATATGTGTATGAAAAATTTTGTCAAATATTTTTTTTAATTAATTATTCAAAGCTAAACACTCCACTCACTTACAAGAAGCTAGCTCAAAAAGTTTTAAAACTGAGTGATTAAATTTAAACTTTTGTAATTTTTGTTGTTTGATTTATGTAAACTCTTTTTAATAAATTTTGTTTCATTGAAATTTTCTAATATTTTCTCTTCAATAAATATAAAATAAGTATGCCTTTAGTTTGCAAGTTAAATAAAAATTGTAATTTGTTAAATTATTTTTTAAAATAAAAATTAAGTCAAAATTAAATTTTTACCAATCGGTCTCCAGTTTTTAAGTTTTGCCGCTTGTGTAATAAGGCCTGTGTTTTAGATAGCCGTGGTTCAGGCATATAAAGTTTCTGGTATTTTTGTATATTATATACTATTTCTGGTATATTGGCTGAATTTTAAAAGATTCAAGGAAAAAGAAGGCATCCATAAATTATGTATGCAGTAAAATCACTGATTTAGGCCCCCCCCCCCCATCTTTCTCTTCCTTGTACAAACTTGTATGCTTTCAAAGACCCCCTCCTCATCCTCATTTTTTTTTTTTTAATTAACTCGATTTCTTTTCTCTCTCCTCATTATTTATAAAGAAAGTCAGAAAAAAAACACAAATATAATTTGTTACACACATAAAATTCAATTTTTTTTTAAAATCATGTTTAGGAGAGTTAAACCGCGTACGTACTCACTGTCTTTAACACCCCCTCCTTGTACATATTCATATACTTTTGAGAAACCCCCTTCCCATACCTGCGTATGTACTTTATGGATGGCCCCAAACCCACTTCTCTATAAAATGGAACAAAGCTTTTGCAACTTGTGCATGGTAAATTGCCAAAAAAATTGAAAAAACTTTTAAAGTAATAATTTATAACAAGTTTCATAACATACTAGAGTGACATTTATATTGAGAAATAAAGTTGCTTAAGTAATAAAGATTTTAGAGAAAACTATTGTTTATATAAAGAAGCAGTCTGCTTATCAATAATATAAGAAGCAGTGTGCTTATTAAAAACACAAATTTTAGCATTTTTGACCTGGGAACAACTAATGCAATATTTATTGAAAAACAAAATCGAGAATGATTTTTCAAAAAGAAAAGTAATGAATAGCATTTGCTGAACTTAAAAAAGCAAAAAATACCAAAAGAGGTATATATAAAATTATCACAACAGTAATCAAAAACCAAAGATGAAAAAAAATGAAGAATTTTAAAGTGAGTGCTCAGTCTCTTGCTTTTCAGAGGCATAAGAAAAATTGCTATAAAAATTCCAGTGTTAGATTAAATAAAAACAAAAGAGATAAATATAAATAAAACAAAATCTACACATTGGTAAGCAAGTATAACAAGCAATTAGAAAATTCAGGATATATATTTTTTTTAGTTTTAACAGTAGTAATGTAGGTAACGTAATAATGTTTTTTAAATATTAGTTTTTATACTTTATATTCTATTGAACAAACCAAGGATGCTAAAATACTGATAATGAACTAAGTGAGTAAATTGTTTTTGAATTTCTTGTATGAACCTCTTAAGTTATCTAACTAATGTGAAATAGTGAAACTAAATTCTTGTAGTTTCATTTAATTTATGGGAAGTTTAAAAAAACTTAAAAAAAAATTACAAAATTTGAATGCAATAAACAGCTCAATATCACAAATAATTGTTGTGATGATTGTTACATAAAACAACATGTCAAAAATAACTGATGTTATGTTTTGGTTAAGAAAGTTGTCAAGAAGTCAAAGTAATGTGTAATAATCACTACCTACATGAATAAAGTTAAAAATTTATCTTAAAAATATTAAACCTTCCAGAGAATAAATGCATTCCCAGAAGTGCATTAATAAATATGTAGAGAAGGAGAAGGAAAAAAAGACTGAGTATTGATTTCATAGCGCTTTTAAATGATGCAACAATATGTTGAAATCTTGACCAGTACCTATAATTATATAAAATAAACAAAGAAAATGTAAAAAATATTTTTATAGTTTAAATAAAATTGAATTTATTACAAGCATCACTATAAGACAATAATAACATAAAACAATTTAACTTTATTTTTTGCATGCTTAATTAATTTTTAAAATGTTTTATAAGTTTAACTGATACTTGTACAACTATTTGAGGTTTGAGTATCTTTTATAAAGATATTTCCTATAAAAAAAATAAACTAAACAAGATAAATGTAAAAAAATAAATTACTTTGTAACTTTAAAAACACGAAGTAATACAAAGCAACGCAATGCAGGTAAACCAATAGACCAGTTTGAGAAAATCTCTACAAAACTTAGAAAAACAACCTGAAAAAAATGATTAACAAAATTGTCTTTAAAAAAAAAACTGTAAATTATAAAACAAAATTGTTAATTCAAAAAATAAATACATTTAATATAAAAGACTATACAAGGCATAATTATCAGACAAGAAAAAATAATTGGACCTGCCTTATCAAGTTTTGATGATAAAGCAGGTCCAACAAGGTTTACAATACGTTTTTGGACCTTGTCTAGAAGAGAAAGAGAACCATTAGAAGAACCACCCCAAATATGAAAAACATAACAGAATTCCATACAGGGAAAAATAAGAGATTTGTTGATTTAGAGAATAGAATAAGGAATAAGAAAATGATAAAAATAATAAAAAGAAGCAACTTAAGAAGATGCTAAATTTGCAATCAATTGTATATATGGTTCCCATAAGTACAACAGTACTACCAACAGTAGAATCTTTCAATTAGTAGTTTACAAGTCAGCTGTAGAACAAGAGAATCAAAAACCAAATTGATTGTTGTTAAATGAGTTATTAATTTGATGATCAAAGACTCAAAGGCATTACTAATAACAGAGAAAAGACTGATCAGAAGATAGTTGAAGGGGTAAGAACGTTCTTTGAATTTTTTAAAATTTGGAACCACTGATGCTATTTTACAGTGAGCAGGAAAGCAAGAATTAATCAAGCACTTATTAAATAGTTTCTCAAGTGAATAATAAATAAAGAATTGAAAACAATGCTAACATGTTAAACTGGAACGGCAGGAAGAGTATAACCATTAGATTTAAGAGTCGAATTAGTCAAAAGAGGAAAAGTTCTTTGCTTAAAGTTTTGACTTAACTTTGGGAGAGGTAATAAGACCAAAGTTATTAACTTATATAGTATGATAATAATAGTATAATAGTAAGTTAAAGATGCAATGTTTGATTAAAAAGTAAAGAGCCTAACTGCTGAGATAAAATACGAGATTTAATAAATATGATTAATATTGAAGCTTAGTTGCAGACAGCACCTTTTTACAATAATAAAAAGACATTTGTTTACCAGAGAGTAAAAAATTGTGAAAAATATGAAAAAAAGATTATGATTAAACCGTTTATACTAGCTACATAAGAAGGCGAAAACGGCTATGAGGTTTCACTTGAAACTAATAAAAAGAAATAAAAGCTACTATACCTGCCTGGATTCAAGAGGTTTAGCAAGAGGCGTAATTATCAGCAAAGAGACAAATAACATCAATTGGGCATTTCCAAAAAATCATGCTCAGAAACTCATACATGTTTTGTGTATTATTTTCATAATAATAAAACTGGCGATCTCTAATTTGCTCCCATTTAATTCTAACCTATATAAATATTTTGTAAACAAAAAATGGTATACATTAGTTCTGTTAACAAAGAATAAATTAAGTTTGAAGCAGAATCACACACAGAACAGAAAAATTCAAATTTACGTTACTAGATGAATAAACTTCAATCCCTCTAAAAATATAAGTTTCAGCGTTATATATATATATATATATATATATATATATATATATATATATATATATATATATATATATATATATATATATATATATATCTTAAAAATAATGTTTTAAACATTAGTAAAGCTTTCCAGAAAGTTACAGGATTGCACCATGTATCATAGAGTCACACCAATTGTTTGAATGCAGTTCATGAATGATCATGCACAGAAGTCACGCACAGAAGTTGAGAATTTGTTAATATTTTTTACTCACAAACATTTTATTTTCTTAAAAAATACCTATATAAAATAGATATTTTTTAAAAAATATCTTGTGAGTATTTTAAGTGAAATATTATACTTCTACCACTCATATTTAAAATATTTTCAATGAGAAATGGCATTTATTTTAAATGAAATATCATACTTCTACCACTCATATTGAAAATATTTCCAATGAGAAATGACAGTTATCAATTATTTCTAGCTAAAGATAGCGTTCTGAAAATTGTTGTTTATTTTCAAACTGTAGCAATATTATTACGCAAAAAAACTAAAATGATCAAAATATATATTTAATTTATTCACGTGACCTAAAGTATGATAAAAATATTTTTGATATAAATGTTTTTTATAAGAAAATCATAATACTATGCATATTGTTTTCAGTCCCAGTTTTAATTGCTAAAACAAATTAAAAAAAAAAATCACGCACAGAAATGGAAATGCCCAGCTCAAGAATATTCACACAAAAAATCACAAAAGATTCCCAGTCAGCTTTTGGGTAATAAGCAGTGTGATGATAAAATGATGAAGTAGTGTGGTGAGCAAAAATTACAAAATAAAAGATTTATAGAGATCATTGCATGGTCAGAACTACATAATTAAGAACAAGGATAAGCTGAAATATCTGGCTAACTTTATTTGTTATCAAACAGTGTTGCACCCAGATGTATACCCATACAGTTTGAGTGGTTTAGAACCCAAACCAATGCGCCAAAACTAAAAATTGCCTAAGTTGTAAATTCCAATATTAATTTAGTCCAACATTATTAAATAAAAGCAAATAAATACATGATATTTATATTAATGTACACGTTTTATATTTATAAATAATTATAACTATAATTATAATGGTGAACTTAATCAATGTGGCTCATATATTTTATATATAAGTGAGCAACATTTAAATATGGAATTATATTTACCTGAATTCAAGGTATTTTTAATTTAAGAATTTAAGGAATTTAATTTTATATTATTAAAAGTTAAGTTGCATTGTTAGCATATTTTAAAGTACCACGCTGTAAAAATTACCAAAGAAATTTAAATTCCTTATTTAAAAAAGATTTTATTTCATTATTATTTATTTCTTAAAATTATTTTATTTATAAGATAATCTATTGTTTGTTTTAATACTATTTTTAAAAGTATTTAATGAACTATTTGTAATAATATGATCTTAAATTAAAAACAAAAAATTTTAACTGCGCAATTAAAAAAAAATTCTATTAAACAAAAACACTTCTCCTTTTTTAAAACATAAAACGAAATTTGATGGCTCCTTTTAAATAACTAAATATATGATGGAGACTTTCATAAAATTAAAAAGGAAACAATTATTTCTTTAAGAAGTATTGGAAAATCATTTTATCTTTTTTTTAAAGTAAAAATTAAAGTTTAATTTTCATAATTATATTTAAAGTTTTTTATTTAAAAAAAATTGTTTAATTACTAATTTTTTTTAAACAAAAAATCAAATTATTTCACAAATGCGGTTAACATGTTTTTTACAATAATTTAATCTAAATAAGGACTGTATAAAGTTTAAATACACCAACGAATAAAAGTTTTTGCTCAAACTAAATTGCTGAAGATGTGGTGAAATTACCGATTCGTTGTGTACTGCGTAATGCTACATAATGTGTAATGTGTACTGCGTAATGCTACTTAACCAAGTCTGAATTTAAGGAGCTCAAGGCAATTTTAAGATGTCTAAAAAATGTTTGTAAGAAAACCACTGTGTAAAACTGCTTTTAAAAATCCACTAACAGTAGGAGCATTTTAAACATAATTATTAAAAATAATTATGTTTAAAAATATAGTGAATTCTTGTTTTTGTTGTTTTTTTTTTGGAAGGAGTTAAGTTTAGTCAATAAGATTTCAAAAAACACTACATTGATGCATTGAAAAAAAAATTCTGCTTTAAAAATCATTTTTCTTTAAATCTTTATGAAAATATTTAAATAATTTTGATAAAATATAAACATTTTAAATTCTTTTTAATAAATAATTTTAAAATCATTATTTTTTCATGTGTTAAATAAAATGTTTTGAAACGTTTATAGTTTTTAATTTTTTATAATTTTTTTAAAAAACAAATAAACATAAACTTACAACAAATTCAAAAATATTAAATGATGAACTGCAATATTCTTTTAATGTGAATGCAAAAACTTTCAACAGCAACTCAACAATAAATATGCTTCCTAAGACTCTCTCAAAATAAACTAAAGAAACATAAAATATAATATATATATATATATATATAATAAACAAAGACATAAATTTTTTCAACATTATTAACTTTTCCTTTAATTTTAATTAATCTTTATTTGAACTTCACTTACCTTTTAAGTCATTAAGCCAATGAGGCTGGCCAAAGTGATAGGTAGTCATAAAAATAGTATTAAGAAAAACAATTGAAATAACAAACCAGAAGAAAATTTTATGCTTTACTAATTTTCTTGCTTTCAATTGCAAGGATTTTATATATAATAAAATAAAATGGAGTCTTGATGTTTTATCTTCATGAATCTTGTACAATCTTCTTAAACAATCCTCTCGAATGATTTCTAAAAAAAATTTTAATGGATTAAATTTGTCATTAAAACTTCACATCTCAGCAATTATCTATTCTTCTGAAAAATTAATAAAAACAAAAAATAAATTTTATTTTATTTTTTTATAAAAATAATGTTGCAACTACAACAGCAATAGTAAGCTTTAACAAATTTTTAAAAATAAATGTAAAAATGGTAAAAATAAATTTAAAAAATTGTAAAAACAAATGTAAAAATGTAGTAAAACAGTAATAAAAGTGTTAAAAGTTTTTAAGTATGTTAATATAAAAGTTTTTAAGTATGTTAATATAATTAGTTGTTAGTTAGATATATAATTAGTGACACAAATCAGTAATTCTTTTTGAAATCATCAAATTATGTAGTTAACAAGAATCATAACTTAAACATTAAAAAACTAGGGTTGTGTGTGTCATAGATAAGTTTTTAATGTTACAAAAATCCTAGAAAATTATTTTCAAAAAAATCTTGAAAAATTTTGCAGTCAAAATATTGATAAAAGAAATTCTAGAGAGTTGGAAAAAGGTGAAATAATTTACCTGAAGCGTAATAGTTTAACTGAAAAGTAATAATTTTACTGAAAAATTGATTTTCTTTTAAAAAAAAAAATTTTTTAATGTTCATTTCTGAATAATATATATATATATATATATATATATATATATATATATATATATATATATATATATATATATATATATATATATATATATATATATTATATATATATATATATATATATATACATATATATATATATATATATATATATATATATATATATATATATATATATATATATATATATATATATATATATATATACATATATATATATATATATATATATATATATATATATATATATATATATACATATATATGTATATATATTAACAACTAGTGTTTTTTTTGTTTATATTAAACACTTCAAACTGTTTTTACGTTAAAATGTTGTTATTTTTTTAAATTTTTATATCTGCGTTAAAATGTTTGTTTATTTAATTGCATTTTATAGTTTTTGAAATAACAAGAACTTGCTACGAATACTTGTGTTTTTTATCAATAGTTATAGAAACTTAGACAAAGAAATAAAAAATTAGAAACTTGAAAATATAAAGAAACTTTTGACAAAAAACTTTTTTAAACTTTCAAAATGGGTTTTACATCAGTTAACTTCTTACAAAAAGTAATTTACAATATTTGAAATAGTTAGATTTAATAAATTTAAATTCCAAAACTGTTTTTTTTTTTATTTTCTATTTCATGAAAAACTTAGTATAGAATATATAGTTGCTTTCATGCAATTTTTACCATTTTTAAAGTTTTATTTACTTTTATCACAGATCAAGTACAAAACACAACCAGAAATTTCTGGAAACTAAAAAAACCATCTATGATGTGTGTGTATACAAATACACAAAAACAATTATCACAAAAATCTATCATTTTTACAAAAAACAGTTTGACATACAAACCAATAAACTAATTTTTCAAAAGTTTTAGAACTTTACTCTTTACCAAAAGTAAATATATAATTTAGCCAAAGATTTTGACAAGTAAGATATTAAAAAATAGGATTCAAGACTTGATAGCTTTTTTAAAATTTTCTATAATATTTGTAAAACCGAAACTTTTTAGGATATGTTTCAGGTTCAAGTGATCCCTTTACACTATGATGATGTAATCTCTATTTTTATGTAGCCACCACCTTTACCTGATTTAAGATTTTTTTCAGCCAATTGTTATTGCAATAATTTAAATTTTCCTATATTTATGAATGGTAATGTACTCAATGAGTCATCTACCCTTCATCTTCTAGGATTAACTCTTACTTCCAATCTTTCTTGGAAACTGTATATCAAATCCTTTACAAAATTAGCGTCCGCAAAGGTTGCATCTTTTTATTGAGCTCAACACTTTCTTGCTCTGGAGTCGATTCTCTATCTCTATAAATTTCAAACCCGGCATTGCATGGAATACTGTTGCCATATCTGGGGTGGATCTTCTAATGATGTCCTTTCTATTTTAGACAAGGTGATAAAATGAATTGTAAACAAGATGGACCTGCTCTTGCAGCCAAGTCTCCATCTCCAACCATAATCATATTGTTGTAATGTTGCTTCTCTTTCTCTTTTCTATAAATACTATAATGGGCACTGCTCTAAAGAGCTAGCATTTCTTGTGCCATCTACTAAAATTCATTCTTGTGTTACTCTTCAGTCAATTTAGTCTCATCCTTTTTCCGTGACTGTTCCTAAATGCTTACAAATTCTTATTCTGCTATTTTTTTTCCCTCGAACATCAGTTCTTTGGAATTCGCTTCCTTCATCTTGCTTTCATGATTCATACAATTTGCAATCTTTTAAGTCGTCTGTCAATCATTATCTAACTCTACAATCTTTATTTTTTCTCTTCCAGTAACTTCCAACTCTAATAGTGATTACTTGCAGCCTTTTTGGAAGCAAAGAAGTTAAAAAAAAAAAAGTCCTTTTTTTATGTAGTGTTACCTTAAGAGCAAGTTTTTAAAGGGTAAATTTTTTTTCTTAAACCAACTCAAGAAAGCCATTTCAGAGGAAATTGAAAAAATTTCTCAACATGCTAGTTAGAGTGGAGAAAAACTTCCAAGAATGGTTCTAAATGTGCATCATTCATCAAAAACATCATTAGGTCAATATTTAACAAACTTAGTGAAAAAAAATTTTTGTATCTATATTTGAAAATAAAATATATGTTTTTTGTACCTCCTTCTAAAATCCAGTATAAGTAAAACTCGAATGATTGATCTAATTTTATCTTTTCACGTAGCTTTATAAACTCACTTTTTTGATCAACTTTAGATCTTTCTTTCGAAAACTCCCTATGAAAACATTAAAATATATGTTTATAGTTCAAACATATACATACATACATACATACATACATACATACATACATACATACATACATACATACATACATACATACATACATACATACATACATACATACATACATACATACATACATACATACATACATACATATATATATATATATATATATATATATATATATATATATAAATATATATATATATATATATATATATATATATATATATATATATATATATATATATATATATATATATAATATATATACATATATGTATATATATATATATATATATATATATATATATATATATATATATATATATATATATATATATATATATGTATATATATATATATATATATATATATAATATATACATATATGTATATATATATAAACATATATATATATATATATATATATATATATATATATATGTATATATATATATATATATATATATATATATATATATATATATATTTATGCTCGGTACCATGCCATCTCAGATTTTGCTGATTGATGGAATACAAGCTTGAATTAATAATTAATAAAAGAAAACTTTACTCCAAATTTTAGTGTCTGACTCCTTACGGTTTCAGAAGTATTGATACTTGGTCCCAACCTCTTTTTTGATCTTTTTTTCAGCGCCATTTATTTTTTAGGCTCAACTAGCTTTAACTTTAACTAGCTAACTAAGTTCTTGTTTAATAGTGGTCAAAATTTCTACCTAACTATTTTTTAGGGTGAGGAGCTTAAGAATGATGGCTAAAATACACAAAAAGTCAAGCTTCTATATGAAAATTCAATTTCAAAATGGTGTAACACTTTTTGTAAGTTTCTTGATGCCCTATACAAAAAATGTTTATCTCAAGATGCCTAAAAGATAAAATTCTGAAATATTTTACTAATGTTCTTAATGTAATAAATTCCATAATAAAAAAAAATCTGGAAGGGTTTTCTTTTTTAAATTAGATTTATTTGCATTTTAAGTTTTATTAGAAAAATAAGAAAAACTGTTGTTTAATAATGAAAAAAATTAATTTGCATCTTTTTTTTCCATTTTTCATAAAGATTTTTAGAATCTTGCTGTATTAGGTACAGTACTAATATATAAATTGTTTGCATATCACGTAAAAGATCTTTATTTTATGCAATTATAATGTTTAATAGCTAAAGGATTTTCTATTTTCAAACCTTCAAACAATTATTTTAAAATTGTTTCTTACAGAACTAAAAAATAATATAATAATATGAATGATAAAGAAAGATGTTCAATTGGAATAATGAATAAAAAAATTTGTAACAAACAAACATATGTAAAATCCCAAATCAAATCAAGAAAGTTTCAAGACTTAATAATTAGTCGTTCTGGCATTCAATTTGATGAAAATGCAACGGTTTGCTTACACCATGAATATGTTTATTTAAAACGTTACTCCACAATCCACTTAACTTGCTGTGATCCATTTAATTTATACAATGGAAAAAGAAGAAAAGGTATTATTACTTAACCATGAAACTTTTTTAAACTTTATTGTAATTATTTATAAATCATTTTTGCAAAATACTCACTGAAGGAGTAATTATTTCTCGTGTTTTTAGCAGGATGTATAGAAATTAATATGCAACTTGCTGGGAAATTAAAAAACATTGGTATTAATGTTATTCCTGGAGAAAAGATATGATTAAATTATTGTATGATTAAATTGATGTCATTTAAAGATGATGGACAAAGAGAACCGACTTTTAACCAGATTTATGAAGATGAAGATAATGAACTTAATATAAATGAATTGTTAAAAAAAAATCTTAATTCTTCTTTGACGACTATGAACATAATATCATATCCTCTCAAAATGCATGCTGTAAATAGCCACTCAAGAGTTGGTATTGGCAAAAAAAAATTGTTACATGTTCAAAAAACAGTAAAGTTAGGTATTGCAAGAACTTTAAATATAGATCCTGAACAGTTAAGCCAAAAAAATTCTTTCAATAAATTATTTAAGGAAGGTAAAGGTAAAGGTAAAGCAAATGACATTACTTATTAGAAAAATCAAAGAAAAAATGTTAATTTCCAATCGTAATCAGAAAATTCAACAACTAACAATTTATTGGTCTCACAAAGATATAGAAAAATAATTTAATGTTACTAATTATATGGCGCAGCTACCACGCAAATTACTGCAGAAAAATGGTATTTTATCTTTTCCTGAAAAAAAAAGGAAAGGAAATACCTCAAGAAACTGTAGATAAAATTATTGAATTTTATTGTAATGATGAAAATAATGTCTGTTAAAAATGATTTTGCTAGTATAGCTCGAAGATCTCACATGCAAAAGCGTTTGATTTTTTTAAATCTAAAAGAGCTATATCCAAAGTTTAAAACCTGTTATCCAGATATAAAGAGCTGTTTTTCGAACTTTTGCTCACATCGTCCAAAATGGTGCATTACAGTTAAAGCATCTGGTACGCATACAGTATGTGTGTGCACCTACCATCAAAATGTTAAGTTAATGATTAATGCAGTTGAATTATCAAAGGATTATCACAAGCTTATTGATATTCTTGTTTGTAGTATGGCTAACAAGACTTGCATGATACATCGTTACCCTTTGTGCCCAGAAGATTCTACATTAGTACATTATCTTGAAAATTAGTTGTACTCTCAAGGCGATATTGATGAAAATGATGATTATTGTATAGATTACAAACAATGGAAAACAACAGTCTGATTTGAGCTATTAAGTCTAACAGAAATGACAAGTAGCTTTATTAATACTTTGAAAAATAAGTTGCAAAAACTTACTGTTCATTCTTACATAGCAAAACATCAAGCTACTTCTTTAAGAAAGTTAAAAAATGATTTAAGTAGTACTGAGGTCATTGTCCTTTGTGATTTCTCAGAAAACTACAAGTTTGTTCACAAGACAAAATAAAAAGTTTTTACTGGAACAAAATTCAAGCAACATTGCATCCAACAGTAATTTATTATAAAGAAAATAATGTCCTCAAATGTGATTCAATATGTTTCATCTCAGATGATTTACTGCATGATATAGATATGGTTTATCATGTGATGAACTAACAACTGAACATATTAAAAGCAATATTTCTCATCAAATATAAAGTGTCCATTACTTTTAGATTGGTGTGCTGGCCAGTACAAGAACTGCAAACACTTGGTAAATATATGCCACCATGAACAAGACTTTGCTATGAAATATATCTGGTCTTTCTTTGCAACAAGTCACGGTAAATCACCCTGTGATGGTATTGGTGGCACTGTAAAAAGACTAACTTTAATCATTTGCTTTCATTGAGCAACAACAAATCATATTCTTACAGCATCTGCAATGTTTAATTTTTTGCCAAAATGAAATCATAGGAATTAATTTTATGGAGTTTGTTACATATAGAACATTAGAAAAAAATTTCAGAATCGTATCATTTAGGCATCTCGAGATAAACTTTTTTCTGTACAAAAAGTGTTATACCATTTTGAAATTGAATATTTAAATTCAATATCAAAAAAAGCTTAACTTTTTAAATGTTTTAGCCATGATTTTTGAGTTCCTCACCCTAAAAAGTAGTAAGGTAGAAATTTTCATCACTATTGAACAAGTATTTCATAAGTTAAAGCTAATTATGTTGTGCTATGAGCTTAAAAAATAAATGGCGATGAAAAAAAAAGTCAAAAAAGAGATTGGGACCGAGTATCAATATCTCTAAAACAGTAAGAAGTCTGATACGAAAATTTGGAGTGAAGTTTTCTTTCATTAATTTAAACTTTTACTCCAAAAATCAGCTAAGTCTGAGATGGTATGGTCCGAAAATTTTTTTTAAAAAAATCAAAAACAAAACTTACAAAACATAGTTTTGTAAGTCTCACATACAGCTAAAACTTATATGAAAAACCTTCTGCGTTTGAGAAAAAATTTAAAAATTTGTTAACAATTAACTAATAAATATATTTCACTTAGTTAAAGATTATCACCGTTGTTGGTCTACTAACTTAATTCCTGGCAAATATATAATAAATTATAAACAATTAATAAATATATTTTACTTATCTTAGTTTAAATAGTTTTTTATTTGTTACAAGGAACTTTTACTTATATTTGTTAAAAAATGCTGCTAAACATTTATATATCATGAAAAACAATATCTATTATATCATGATAAAACAATATCTATTATATCATGAAAAACAATAACTCTATGTATTAAATGCTTATTTTTGTTTGTACCTATGTTAAGTGTGTTTTCCTAACTTATTTGATCAAAAAAAAAAAAAAAAGTTGTTGTTCCACAAAAACTTTGACAAAAAAATTTTCCAAAGCTGTTCAAGATGATAGAGCTGGTATGTTTAACAAAATACAGAACATACAGACCAACAGAACCAACAATCTATAGAAGATCAAATACAAACCAAGCTCCTGAACAGAAAAAGCATTTTGTACCAATTTTTTTTTTGTTTTTCATGGTTTTCTATCATAACATCCAAAACTATGTGGGGTTGACTCAGGTTCTCATAAAAATTACATCAAAATGAAATGCTGAATGTCACTCAAATATCCTAGAAGATTATCTCAAAAAAATCAAGGAGAACATGGAAGCTTACTCAGAGGAGCAAGGTAAGCATTTTTATTAAGGTATATTGGACTTAAAATGCTGTTACCAAGAACAAGATCATGAAAACATGAAGTTGAACTACATTTGGTGGCTTCTTCATAAAAGTGATTTACAGTGCAATTGCAAATTTAGAAAATTTTCTTATTTCTGAAGTCTTTTAAGTGATTTTGTATTTTTATACCTTTGTCTATTAAAGATTTTTATATTAAGTATTTTTATACCTTTGTCTATTAAATATGCAATTGTTGTTTTTTACAATACCAGACAAAGTAATGCAATTGTTCTCAATAAAAATTATTCTTCTTTTCATCGTCACCATCATTACCAACATTTTACATAATGCTG